TGAGCTTAGATGATTTCTGAGGATGTTAATACTCTACCTCATAAATAGGAGAAAATGCTTGTTTTGGTGGCAAAAGTTTTAGAAAATTTGGGATATTACACAAATTAAGGCATTATCACTCTTAATTTACCTTTTATTGATGGTTGTATGTGTTCCTCTGTAACTTTTCACTTTTAAAAGAGATGATAAAATGTGTTTTATTACTCCAATTTGATTATTTTTGCATGTGTAAATTAACCTGTTTTAGTGAAATGATAATGAGTATTTGCAAACTGAATCTAAATTTCGTTTCACATCACACGAATGGCTCAAACATATTTTTAAGGTATGTGATCGTGGAATGTGAAGATCAAGATACCCAGCAGAGGGATCCAAAGACCCATGAGATGTACTTGAATGTAATGAGAAGATTTAGCCAAGCGTTGTTGAAGGTAACCATTAAATGTGGGGGTTGGCAAACTGCAGTGCGTGGGCCAAATTCAGCCTGTTGCTTGTTTTGGAACATCCCATGAGCTAAAAGTGGTTTTATATATTTTTTATTTTTATTTTTTTGAGACGGAATCTTGCTCTCTTACCCAGGCTGGAGTACAGTGATGCCATCTCGGCTCACTGCAGCCGCCACCTCCCGAGTTCAAGAGATTCTCCTGCCTCAGCCTCCTGAGTAGCTGGGATTAAAGGCGCCCACTACCATGTCCAGCTAATTTTTGTATTTTTAGTAGAGACAGGGTTTCGCCATGTTGGGCCAGGCTATTCTGGAACTCCTGACCTCAGGTGATCCACTTGCCTCGGCCTCCCAAAGTACCAGCATTACAGATTGTGAGCCACTGCACCCGACCCGGTTTTTATATTTTTAAATGATTGAAAACCAATCAAAAGAAGAAAAATAATTGGTGATACATGAAAATTATGTGAATTCAAGTTTTAGTCTTCATAAATAAATTATTGGAATAGAATCATGAACTCATTTGATTTTATATTGTCTGTGGCTACTTTTATACTCAATAGGAGTTTAATAGTTGGAATGAAAACTGCGTGGCCAAGAAGACCTAAAATATGTTATCTTTGACCCTTTACAGAAGTTTTCTTGATCCCTAATTTAATGAAATAAACCTGTACATGGAGTTAAAAAAGAAAGAGCTTTGCTTTTTTATTTTCCTTTCTATTGTGTATCTTTCTTATCAAAGCTGTGTATGTTTCCAGAAATCTGGCAATGGTCATATTGCAGATACTTTTTATATAACATATTTTTGCCTTTTCAACAGCTTTTAAGAGAGATTTATTTTTCCTGTGTTCTTTTGATTCTTAAAGCAGTGTCACAGTTCGGCCAGCAGAGGGTGCAAGGACAGTGAAAAGAAAGCTGCCACACATTAATCTGGGACTTGCCGCAGAAATAGTCTATTTCATGGCATCTTTCATCTGTTGCATGTTTCATGCTTTTAAAAATTTAAATCACATCCTATTAAACACTTTGAGACTAAGCTTTTGTATTCATTCCCAAAGCTTCTCAACATCAAACTGATTGGCAAATAAGCCCTTGGTCCTCTCTTCTAATCTCGTTTCTGTTACAGCCTTTGTCACCCTGTGAAGACACTTCAGTTTCTTCAAGTTTAAATTTCCTCATCTTCGAAGTGAGGATGGTAACATTTACCCAGCTTCCCTTACCAGGGTAATTGGGAAGATTAAATTAGAAATGTATTTTATAATATTTTATGAACTAGGAATCACTACATAAGACTGTATAGCATTTAGTTTTTATGACTTGTATTTTAAGCACATATTGTGTTGCTATTTGAAATTTTCTTTTTTTTAAAGTTGATTTTTGGTTCCTTGAAGACCTATATCTTTGTTTCTGCCATATTTATGTATATATGTCCAGCACATTTCTGCATCAAAAGCCATTGGATATTTATTGAATCAAATAATGAGTGAATGTATTTTAGGATGAATGAATTCCATCTTGTCACATGGTTTATGTGGGAAAAAAAAATGCTGTTGTGGATAGACCAGTATTTACTGAAGACTCAGATAATTTTCAGTTGTGGATGGATTAGTGTTGTCAGTAACTAAGATACAGGGTTTCTCGTTGTTTTTGAATCAAGATAATGTTTTTCAATTTTGCTTTCTATTTAAGTTTACAGCTATGAGATTACATGGATAACAAGGATTATCCATGCTGTTAAAGAAACCCTGATCATTACGCTACATAGAACTAATTTTTTCTCACTTTGAACCCTTCAGGGTGATAAGTCTGTCAGAGTTATGCGTTCTTTGCTGGCCGCACAACAGACATTTGTAGATCGGTTGGTGCATCTAATGAAGGCAGTACAACGTGAAAGTGGAAATCGTAAGAAAAAGGTAAGCCTATGGGGTATGCTTTTGTTCATAATTTAATAACGTCTTAGCATCAGAAAATACTGAATTTTCACTGTTGTCTTTTTGGGTTGATATATTATGTGAATTATTATTATTATTATTATTATTTTTTTTTTTTTTTGAGACAGAGTCTTGCTCTGTCACCCAGGCTGGGGTACAGTGGCATGATCTTGGCTCACTGCAACCTCTGCCTCCTGGGTTCAAGCAATTCTCGTGCCCTAGCCTCCCGAGTAGCCAGGATTGCAGGCACCCGCCACCATGCCCAGCTAATTTTTCTATTTTTAGTGGAGATGAGGTTTCACCATGTTGGTCAGGCTGGTCTCGAACTCCTGACCTCAGGTGATCCACCCGCCTCAGCCTCCCAAAGTGCTAGGATTGCAGGCGTGAGCCGCTGCGCCCGGCATATTATGTGAACTTCTTATCATGAAATTATAGTAATAGGAATGGTATATGAGTTTATGTATATTGATATGATATTTAGTCTTCGTAACAACCCTATAAGTTAGGACCTATTATTATCCCAATTGTGAGGAGAAGAAAGTAAAGAGAGGTCAATTAATTTGTTTAATGTCATACAGCTAGTAAATATTGGAGTGGGGATTTGTACTCAGACATTCTTAGTCCATATTGTTATCCACAGTGCTTTACCACCTCTCATTTTAGCAAATTAGAATATACAATATATTTGATATGGAAAGAATCTGTAGAGATCATTTAGACTAGAACTCTTCTGAGAAAACAAAAGTCCAGAGTAACTTGCCCAGGGGTTCACAACTGATTGTTAGTAACAACACTAGCCTTGTATCTCTTCTCTCCTGGCTAGTACATCAGGCTTTCTCTCAACTATGAGGTTTCCACTTGATGGGTAGAAGTAGATGAGTTCTTCACCTGTCATTTTTTCTGATCAGTAGCCTAAATGATATGAAAGATTCACTTGGTATGTTTTCCTAATTCCATTAGATAATTGGCAGGCCTTTCTTGGTGACTTTTGTAAAACAACACATTTTACTGTTCTTTAGACTTTTAAAGGAAAGCAGAGAGAGGAGGAAAAGATGAAGATTTGAGTCAGTGGTTCAAAGGCAAAGAATCAGGTCTAAACAGAAATGCTAGCAGAGCCATGTGGAGGAAGTAATGAGTAATGCTCAACAGGTTAGAGAGGGGAAAACAGGCTGAGAGGAAACACAGTTCTGTTGAGTTGACATTTTCTTTGTGGTTGAGAAGAATCACAAACCTTGGTCAAATAAATACATTTCTACTGCTGTTCCCGCCGTAGCACCTCTCCCCAGAGGTGCCTGTGTGGGAAACAGTGTGATTCCCAAATGCCCGCCAGCAGAGGGAGTGTCTGCTGCTCTGACCTGCAGTTTGGAGCTTATATTTGAAACCAGTTTGTTTTAGTGCCAGGAGCTCTTCAATTTAAGCAGACACAGGAACCTTGGCAACACCTCAGTTTTAGCTCTTCTGGAGGCTGACCACCTATTTGAGACGTCACCCAGAGTCTCCCCAAATAAATTTTGTGTTTCTCACATAGCCTATATTTTAAGCCAGACCATCCCAAATATAGTTTCCATATTGGCTGAAAATCTTTATAGGCATTTTATCATGATACGGTAAAAAACAAACAATTTTATCTACATATATTTACTAGAAACAAGCCCTGGCACCATGAAGAAATGCAGAGAGAGCTCTCTACCACCATTATTGGCATTAATACTAGTAATATTGAAATAGCCACTAATCATATAAAATCATATGTAGCACTTTTTCATCCCTTGTAATTTATTTGCGAGAGCTATATCACAGTGGGTATAGCAGTGTTAGATCTGTGGCAGAGTAATCCCTGAGTTAAGTGTCAGATGAGTGAAGAAAATGATAATATTGTTGTTGACTTCTTTCCTTCGTTGATCTCCAGTTTAGGAAAAATTATGTTAGAAGAGGTCTGAGTCTACATATTTGAATTCTAATAAAATGCCTTTTTCATCTACTTTTTTTTTTGAGACGGAGTCTTGCTCTGTCGCCCAGACTGCAGTACTGTGGTACCGTGGCATGATCTCGGCTCACTGCAGCCTCTGCCTCCCATTTTCAAGCAATTAACCTGCCTCAGCCTCCCAGGTAGCTGGGACTATGGGTGTGCACCACCACGCCTGGCTAAGTTTTAGTAAAGATGGGGTTTCACCATGTTGGCCAGGCTGATCTCGAACTGACCCCAAGTGATCTGCCAGCCTCGGCCTTCCAAAGTGCTGAGATTACAGGCATGAGCCACTGCGCCTGGCCATCTTTTCCATCTACGTTTAAAATATATTAACACTTTCACTGTTAATATTATAAGTAGTCTCTCTTCACTTTATGATTTTTTAGGGGATATTACACATTTATGTGTTCTACCAATATGAAATATGTATTGCATGCCTACTCTGAGCAGAGCACTTTTCTAGGTTCTTGGGATACAGCAGTGAATATAAAAATCTCTTCGCCTATGGGGATCATATTCTCACTAAAGAGAGTAAATGCAATAAATAAGTAAAATGTGTGTAGTGTGCTAGATCGCGTTATGTGTTATGGAGAAAAATAAAACAGAAAGGGGGAATAGGCAATACTTGTGTCCAGTAGTAAGGCAGTGTTTCACTTCTTAATAGAGTGACCAGGTTAAGGCCTCCCTGAGAAATTGACATTTGAACAAAGACCTGAAGCATGTAAGAAAGCAAGCTGGTCTTCTGGAGAAGATTGTTCCAGCCAGAGGAATAGCAGTGCAGAGCCCCAGAGGTGGGAGCATGTGTGGCAGTTGTGAGAAATAGGAAGAAACCCAGTGTATTTGGAGCAGAGGGAATGGGTACAGTAATAGGAGATGAGGTTAGAGATAATTGGGAAATGGATGAAATTTATCCTTGTAAATCATTATAGTCAATATTATTTTGACTGGAACACTGAGTAAGAGTAGAAGCTGTTGGAGATTTTGAATTGATGGGTAACGTGAACTGGCTTTCATTTTAGCAGCTGCACTCTGGTTACTTTTGATAAGAAACTAGGAGAGTGAAAAGTTTGAAGAAGAGGAGCAATCAGAAAGGAGGCTATTGCAGTAATCAAGATGAGAAATCATGGTGGCTGGGTTCTTAGGGCTTATAGTGGTAGAGGTGGTAAGAAGTGGCTAGATTTCTCACCCTGTTCTTATTTTACTTTCTGATTATTTATTTATTTCAATCAGCACATCAACTAGAAATTTGTTAAGCTAGGATAACTTTACTCTCAAATTAGTTGATATTACTTCACATTAGTAGATCTGACCGTCCATTTAGTTAAGGAGTAGATTTAGTGATTTTTGTAACACTTATGTAGAAATTCATACCAGTTGATTTTCAGTTGATTTTAACTTGAACTTTTCATCATTCAGGAGGAGATGGGATTATTACTGAAGGGAAATAATTTAATTTTACATCTTCTTTGTCCTTGAAACATATTATTTTTTCTGAACTTCTTTCACTGATTCCGGAGTTCTCTCCTTTGAGGCATACCCAGCAGCACAAAGCACTTCAGCTTCCCAGTAGCATCATAGTTGAAGTGTTTTATGCTGCTGGGATTGTCATGTCGAGTTTTCCCTCTTGAAGAACAAACTCACCTATTTAGGTGAGCAAGCCCTGCTCCTCAAGATTGCAAGACTTTCCCAGCTTTTAAAGGAAATTGATTGTTCTTTTGAAATTGAATAGAAGGAGTTCTTCTAAATAGTATAGATGTTGCTTAATGATGAAGCTGTTTCATCATGACTTGGATTTCTTAGTTTCTGAAATATTAGCTTAATGCGTTATGTATATGAGCTGAAGAAAATGAATGATGATATCCTAGGAAAAGTTTGACTGTACAGACTCCGTGAAAGTTAGAAAGTAGCGTTATAGTTCCTCCAAGTGAATTAAGTTTCCTTTTTAAACTCAAAAAATGCACTGGGGCAGCCTAATGAAATTTTTGCTTAATATTTGGTCATGCAAGATTAAACTTTGAATGAAATTTCAGTTTCTCTCTGTGGCTTCACAAGTCCTTGGAAACAGAAATTGAATCTTTAGGTCCAACTTGAATAAGTTCCTGATTCTTTGTCAGCTGTAGCAAGTGAAATGTATTCTCTGTCCTTCTTGTGAAAGTCCAGCCTTTCACAGTTAGGGATTGTTTGGTTTAAAGCATGCTACTGCTGTTGTTAGGGATTATTTATACGTGCTTTTCTCTCACATACAACACTATGTCCTTTATATTACTTTGGTGCTCTGCAAATATTTTTAAGTTAATAGAATCAATTTTTATGTCTTTACTGTATGTTTTATAAACTACTCTTCTATTTTAACCTAATTAATCCTTTCTGATTTGTTCTAGAATGAGAGACTACAGGCGTTGCTTGGAGATAATGAAAAGATGAATTTGTCAGATGTGGAACTTATCCCGTTGCCTTTAGAACCCCAAGTGAAAATTAGAGGAATAATTCCGGAAACAGCTACACTGTTTAAAGTAATTGTGGTGGATATTTAATGTGTATGGTTGGAACCTAAATCTTAAACTAGATCAGAGATACTACCTTGGAAAATTACTACATTGCAGAGATCACCTCTGTAATTCTAGTTGATTTAGTAAATGCTAGATCAAAGGGTAGCTTTCGTTTATCAGTGTGTTTCGATTTAAGATCTTCTTTTGTTACAGTACACGGGCATTTTTATATGATATGTGAAATACTTTTATATCTCTGGGTTGTTTTTTAATATGTAATTTTTTTATTGTTTTATTTTTGTAGAGATAAGTCCTCACTTTGTTATCCAGGCTGGTCTCATACTCCTGACTTCAAGCAGTCTTCCTACCTCAGCCTCCCAAAGTGTTGGGATTACAGGCATGCGCCACTATACCCAACATAATATTTAATTTTTTGAGCTAATTGTTAATCAGATCCATAACTGCTTTTCTTTATGTAAACATTTTTTTTTTTTTACACAGGGCAAATTGCAGACATATCATGCGTTCATTCAGTTCATGAGTTCAGATGGTTAGATACGAGTCCCAGTTGACCTTTTTAACATTTCTCAGTCTGACATCTGTTCCTCTTATAGAACCTTAAGTTTTTTCTTATATTTTCACGTGGCAATTCTCTTTAGTCCTTAATCGCATACCAGGCTTGGTGTTTTTTCTGTTGACTGGCTACCAGTTCAGGTAGAAACAACTGATGCAGCTGCCTTCTCTAATCAGGCTCAAAGGGCCAAAGGCCAGAGCATCATTTTCTGTCAACGTCATACTGAAAGATGTTTGTGAGACATGGTGTTTTATGTTTTGTGGTTCTAGTGGTAGAAAGGCATAGTTGCACTGAATATTAACTTCGCATGAGTTAAGAAAGGGCTCATAGAACAACAACTAATGTATATACACAGGGGTGTAATTATAGTAGCAAATAGTTCATATTTTTTAAAAAGGTATGTTTCAAGGCAGCCTCGTATTTGGTCATGGGTTGCAGCCCAGCTCATAACAACCAAAACATAAGTTTCATAAAGCAATACTTAACCTTAACTGGGTGTTATGGACGGATAGTTTCTATTATTTTAAACATTATTCTGTTGCTTTAATTTTAAATGTTGCTTATAACCTATTGGTTTTAAACCTCTCTACAGATTACAACCTACAAGTTAAAAATACTGGTATTACTATATGCAATTTGAAAATACTGGTATAGGAGATACAGTGCAAATTTTTTTAGTCTGTGCTTGCAATCTACTGGAGACTGAAATGTAAAAAGCTATACACAAGGTAATATACATATAACAACTGGCATTCCTTTGAGCTAGAACTCCCAAAGAAGACCAGCTTCTAATATTCTTGAACACTAAGGACTCATCAAGAGCAGTGAATCAAAAAAGTAATTTTACCATTTTTTTCCAACCATGGTAGAAAAGAGTATCTAAGACATATAGCAGGGGTTTTAAGAGTGGAGTACAAGAAGATGCATCTCCCTCTATTGGTAGGTGGATTCTAGACTCATACTCTTTTTAATTACAACATATTATAATTATGTCTTATGACTTAAAATATGGGAAATCTTTTTTTTACCTGAATATTCAGTCTTGATTATTTTTATTTCAACTCTTAAGTATATGGGCATTCTTAAAAATTTTGAGTTGGAGTTTAGGAATAATGGTTCTGAGGCAGTTGCTATATAATATTAGTTATGTAGAGAGAGTTGCTACTTTGGCTCATGGATGCCTTTGAGAATCTGATGAAAGTGATGGATTATACACTTTAGAAAATTGCCCATATGCTTACAAATACACTGAAATTTCTGCATACACTTGCAGAGGATCTATGGACTCCTGTCGTCCTTGTGTGAGCTCCTTAGAGCTGAAAAGGTTAAGGACCCTTATTTCTAGTAGTTTTAAAAGTAATTTTGTACACCTTAATGTAACAGCCAAAGCTGGATATTCATGAGGAGTGGACCCCTTAAGGCACTGGGATAAGTGCTAGTTATCCTGTGGTTGTCTTCTTGCTTTAAATTTCAGACGAAATCTAAATTAGATGAAATCTAATTGAATCTGAAAAAAGAAATCACAACAAAGATTCTCCTACCTGTCATTTATCTTTAGGAAGATTTCCAATTACTAGGGCTCAAGGTAATTTATAAAATAACATTTTCACCAGGAGTGATAAAAGGATATTCCAAATTTAAAGTAATTTAAAGTTCAGAATTTTATTCCAACTAGAGTTTGTAAGCTTTAAACATACATTCTCTGAACCATTTTCTATGTTTTTCCCACCCCCAGCATTTTATAGGAAAGTTTTCAAGCATACAGCAAAGTTGAAGGAATTTTACAGTAGACAACTATGTATCTACCACTTTAATTCTGTCATTAACATTTTGCCATTTGTTTTGCCACATCTGTTCATCCTTCTGCATGATGTTTTTTGCGCCATTATTTCTCTTGGTTATTACCATTTTTTGTTGTTGTTGTTTTTAAATTTGTTTGACTCATTTTTTTTTCTCTGGATTAATATGTTTCTCCAAATTTTTGTCTTATATAATTTCTTCTCGATGACCAAACTCAATAGGGTCTCTCTCTCTCAGAACAATTTTCTAAACATTTATGTCCAGACTATCCATCTTAGCATGCCACTCTATGTGAGGTTTTGTATGAGTCTCCCTTTCTAAAGAGAATTTAATTTATTTTTTGTTGTTGTTGTTGATTTAAACACATACCTAAACTAATTTAGACCTACATATAATTAAGGAAAGGACTCTGGGGAAAACATAAAATTATTCCAGAATAAAAGATACAGGTATTTGAGACCTCTTCTCATTTTATAAATGAGGAATTTGAGTCTTAAAGCTGCACAACTAGTACAGATTGAGCATCTCTAATCCAAAAATCCAAAATCTAAAATTCTCCAAAATCTGAAACTTTTTGAGTGCTGACATGATGCCACAAGTGGAGAATCCTCCAGCTGACTTTATGTCATGCATTACAGTCAAAACACAGTCAGAACTTTGCTTCAAGCACAAAATTACTAAAAATATTGTGTAAAATTACTTTCAGTCTATGTGTACAGGGTATATGTGAAACATAATTGAATTTCAAGTTTAAACTTGGGTCACATCCCTAAAATATTTTATTTATGTATATGCAAATATTCCAAAATCCAGGGAAGTCCAAAATCCCAAACTTTTGCAAGCATTTCTGTTATGGAATACTCAACCTGTGGTATACTTGCCATTAAAAACCAGGGCTCTTGACTTTACATCTGGTACGTTGTTATGCTATACTGTTTCACCTTATTTATTTCAGTATACCTCTAAAAATAGAAAATGATGATAGGTATATATAGAATGTCATCTCTGTATTAGGCATGATGCCAGACCTGTACAGTTTCTGATTGCCTTAGCAACTCTGCAGACGAGATGCTATCTATATTTTACAAATGAGGAAACAAAGAATATACACGGGACTGTTCAGCGAGTACGTGGCAGAGCTTGCAGTGTTCTAACCACATGACTGATTACAGAGCTTGTGCGCCTTCTATCATGTAGTCTTCTGACAATTAGCTAGTTCACTGTTCTTTCCAAGATACCCTAATGTATCTCATTGAAAACCCAACTTATTTTTTAGGTCCTGTTTACCTGTGTATTTATCTTACATATCAACATTTTCTTGTATGTATAATACACCTATATGCATTAATTCATGGCCAAATTTGAAATCAATATTTTTATTTTCCAGAGTGCCCTTATGCCTGCACAGTTGTTTTTTAAGACAGAAGATGGAGGCAAATATCCAGTTATATTTAAGCATGGAGATGATTTACGTCAAGATCAACTTATTCTTCAAATCATTTCACTCATGGACAAGGTGAACATGACCTTATGTTGGTGGGGAACATTTTTTTCATTTTGGAAGACTGTGGCTTAGTACATTTGCTGTTTGTGAAACAGAAGTATTTGTAACGTTCAGGTACGATCCTAGAAAGCTCAACAGTCTCTGCTGACCTTGAAAAAATTTGGTTGCTTTTATACACTTCAGAATGGCTTTTGTGTTGAGTGTAAAGTGGAACTGCGTATGTTCCATTAATTTGTTTTCCAAATTAAGTTCTCTAAATATGGGATTTAGTAGTTTCCTTCCTCTTAGTCTATTAAATCTTTTTTTTTTAAATCTTTTTAATCCCTGGCATTAAAAAGTACGTGTTTGCCCTATTTCCCTTTTACTGAGCTCTGAAGCACTCTGTGGCCAGAAAGGACTGCATGAAGTGATAGGAACAACCCTATTGTTCATTGAAAACTGCTAACAGAGATTTAGAGTAGATGAAAAATTTG